AAAGATGCACAAGACTTCATCAGCTGTACTCGCCTCAGACTTCTGTCCGCATGGCCCCAAAACCCTGTTGAAAATTATTAAGGCCCCCAGCTTTGAAAAGTTCCAGGGAGTCGATTGAGTCGATTAGGGCTTAAGGGGGCGTGGCAGGACCCAGTTTTTTGAGCTTGCACCCTGATGTAGGGGCCTTAATAAGGAGAATGGGGGTCTCAGCTCCTTTATACTGTAATATGTTCATAATATATAAGGAACCCATATTGGTAATGAGTTCGGCCTTTAGGCTTCTATATTCGACCCAAACGGTATCTGGCAAGGGCACCGACATGAAATCTTAAGGTCTTGGGTGTTAGCAGCAAATTTACATACTTCGCCGCAAACTATATGCCCTAAACCGAAGAAGTTATCCGACATCCCGAAACCCTTAATTCTGAAATCACCGAGCTTCAACCTCTCATGGAGTCGTACCGTAATATGCGGTGAGGAAGCCCTTCGCACATAGGGCCTGGCCTTTGTGATTCAAGCTCCAGTGTTGAGACAGTGCCCCACATGCAAAGGAATGGCCCCTGTAATCTCTAAACCATCCATCGAGGAATAGCGCAAACAAGGAACTGGCGGATTGGGGCTAAGACTTCTCAGGACCAGCTTGCAAGGTCATGGACGTTCAAAGCCATATGAGTTCGATCATGCACAACAGATACATCTGGAACTGCAGATGCTCACCACCTCTCGATAAAGCAACGAAAGCCTGAAGCCCCTTTCAACTCGTCCGTAAGCACACCCTTAAAATAGGAAACAAATCCTCTTCACCCCTTCCCGCCCCTTTCCCCCTACACCCTGAACCCCCAAACCCTTCCCCAACCTTAAAATAACCTAAACCTCAAACCATAAACCCCAAACCCCTCAAACCCCTAAACCCCGAAACCACTAAAACCCTAAACCCTCGATCATCAACCCTAAACCCCTTAAGACCCCACACCCCATAAAACCTCATGAACCCCTGTACCCTAAACCCAATCAAAACCCTCATAAACCCCAAACCCCTAAACCCTCCCTGAACCCCTAAGACCCCAAACCCCTACTGCAAACTCCCCTAAATCCTCAACCCTAAACCCCTAAGACCCCAAATCCCTCAACCCCCAAGGCCCCAAACGCCCGGTGGGCCTCGGGCCGTGGCGGCTCTAGGAGCCTCTGGGGCTTTCGGCATCGAGGCCACTCCACGCAAAGCCGCTCCTCCGGGGACGACTCTATGGGAAATTTAGGAGTTTTGGTGTTTAGGGTTTAGGGGTTTAGGGTTTGGGGGGTTTTAGGGTTTAGGGTTTGAAGCGTGGTGTTGGGTTTAGGGTTTGGGATCTGATTTCAACCATTCTTCACCTTTGGGGCTTCCTGATTCTATCTTTCGACTCATTTTATGTATTTACTAACCGTGTTTTGGGTTGCGTATTTTTAGGGTTTGCAGCTCAAGGTCGTCTCTGGCTTGGAGACTTTAGGGTCTCAACGGTTTAGGTAAAGGGTTGGAGGTCGTCCTGCTGAGACTACTCAGGCAGTGTCCTGCATGTGCGACGAATGGTACGTTGATTACTGACTACGGTTTCCGGGATAGCTATTACAGACCTTTTTCCTGTCTACTATGGCGTCGAGTGTTGAAGTTGCTTATCTGGAACCATGGTGGTGGGTGAGGTTGGTGTTTATGTTCGTGGTAGAAAGCAGAACAAGGAGGGAGCTCGAATGTCTGTCGAAAGAGATGCTCTGAAACATCAGAGCGTGCTACGAAAGCTTGACCGCGGCGCCTGGGGGTTTGCTGTCGGAGAGCTAATTACTCCGAATTTCAGCTTTGTCTCTCAGTTCCTTTCCTCAAGAAAACTTCGACTCTGTGGCTCGGAGAACTTTCAAGACTCCGGGTTAGATCTCATTAATTAAGACTTGAAGGTTAGTGGCGAGGCGGTGCTGCACTCTTGGGTGCAAATTTCAAGGTCGAGACGACATCGAGGGCAGCTGCGAGCTTAGCAAGAAGAAGATAGGGTGTATGATTTACGGTCACCGGGAGCTTCTACCGGGGCCCTCGACATGCCCGGAACCAAGTCCCTCTACTTCCCTGGTCGGCTAGACTGGGATATTGGGGGCTCGTACTGTACATGTTTGACGGAACCCTGCGGGATAGTATTACTATTTACTCAGATCCCTACATTCCAAGAGGGTCCATATACACTACTATTATGGAATTAGGCCCCCCAAAAAATGGTCCTTTGGGATCTAATTCCATAATGGTAGTATCTGTGGACCCTCTGGGATTGGAGTCATTGGAGCAAGGCCGGGGTTTGAATCGAAGGCTCTTTGTGTCGCCGGCTCAGCCGGCGCGAGCGCGAAAGCGGCAGCCATGATTCTCACAAAAATACCTTGCTCCCAGAGTTTTGCAGGGTTGGTCGGGTTCCGTAGGGTTGGCATATGTCAGGGAAACTCTGAAGCCCTTTACCAGTTTTACCCCGTAGTTGCATATAGTATAGGATGTTAGGGGGAGGCTTCGGGTGCACAGGTGCCGCGCGAGGAAAGGGCCGCAGAATCTGGGGTTTCAATTTTTTAGGGATGTTTAGGGCCTCTAGAGCTCTGCAAAAGAACATACAGTAGAAGCCAGAAAGTTGGAATATCATTATCGTAACCCCCTTAAGGTAAATTATGGGGTATCCTACCCTGAAACCATATTCCAACTTTCTGGAGTTACCTTTACCTGCTTGCTGTCACTGCCGCGGTATGGATATCACGGCTCTTCCTTGCTCGCGTTGTGACTGTGTCAGTACCGATCCGACCTTATATTGTAGTGAAGTTCGTGGCAGTGTGATCGTTTCAGTGTCCAAGGTTTGGCTCATACCTCGGATGTAACGAAATGTACACCATTTTCTGTATCCGGGCTAACTCCTCAACTTAAACCCTAAACCGCTCAGAAACATGCTGCTAAATTGCAAAGCCCTCCGCATTCGAATAGAGGAGCCTTTAGACTTTGAACAGGTATTTTGGCAGCACAATCACTCTGAGCTCAAAGGGGTTCCTCGCTATAACTCTAGTATAATACCCCAAACCCTATTCTAATTGTTAGGGCCCCTTTAGTAGTTGCCGACTTTGAGAAGCAATACTTGCTTTGTCCCACTGCCCTGAACGCAAAGCTAGACAAAAGTAAGGAACATCCAGTTCTTAGGGCTTTAGAGTTTTAGGTTTTAGGGCTTACGGTTTAGGCTTTAGCTGTAAGATGACCCCCAAACCCTGAAGCCTGATACATCCTCCACGTCAATAGGCCCCCAAAAAAACCAACCGTAATCCCAAACCCCTATATGGGAGTTTCCGAAAATAGGGGACCCTAGTATAGTACCCTAAATAGTAGGATCCTTATTATAAGGACAAAATAAGGTGCCCCTAATTTTCGGAAACTCCCATATACTAGCTGCCAGGCTACTGGAGGCCCTTGGAGCAGCGGCTTTTCTTCGAACCAAAACAGCTGAAGTGGGATTGTGGTTTTTGGTTTAGGGGTTTAGGGTTTAGGGCTTTTGACTTAGTAATATTAGTATCCGGGGCCTTCATGATCCGGGTAGGGCCTGGGTTTTGAGCGGTCTGTTCTACAATCAAGGAGTTAGTATCGCCAAGCCCCTTCTCTTAGTTGCCGAGTTCAGAAGCCACAAAAAAACCTACACTGTCAGTTATATAATGGGTAATATAACCCCCAAACGTGTAAAGAGTGTATCCACTCTGCTACTAAGTTATATAGCCGTCAGGCTTTGACGAGGCGGCAGAGCCGATGATATCAACTTTCGGCTGAGAGTTCAGATTTTCAGGTTTCGCGTTTGGGGTCTAGGCTTTAGGGGTCTAGGATTTCGGGTCTTAGGTGGATTACTCGGTTTGTTTAGGCTTCGCTTTTTAAAGTGCACTGACCCTTTTGTTCCGATCTTTGTTTTTTTTTTTTTTTTGGTTTAGGGCTTGGGATCTGGAGCTTAGGGTCTTCGGTGCCAGGCCGGAGGTTGGGGGGGCCTCGGAGTCTGGGACTTTGGAATACTACTACTTGCTTAAGAAACCACCAAAAGGAATAATAATCCCTATATTACCCCCATAAGGAACATATTTTTTATTTTTTGGGGGGTTCGGAAGCAAATAGTAGAATATGGGGCCCCGACCTCGGAGCAAAGTCTGTTGGGGAGATGCTATGTCATGGGGTCTCCTCCTGCAGATAATTTCAGAAACCTTTTTTTTCCAGCATGGGCTTGGATTGTGAAGAACCCTCAACCCTAAACCCTAACCCTTACGGTTTTCAGCATGGGCTTGGATTGTGAAGAACCCTAAACCCTAAACCCTGAACCGTAAGGGTTTAGCGTTTGACTTCCTAGGCTATGGTTTAGCGCTGTGTTCGGCTTGATTGCTAGAAATCCAGGGGTAAAAGGAGGGACCCCCAGGTATATACCCTTAATATAGCTATTGAACCCCCATTATATAGCCCATTATAGGCTAGGGGTCCCCATTAAGGGTCCCTCCTCTTCCCCGTTGATAGAAATCCCGACCTCAACCTGGGAGCCTTAACCTGGCAACGATAGACCATACAGTAAAAGCCAGAAAGTTGGAATATGATTATCCTAACCCTTCTATGGTAATTTATAGGGTATCCTACCATTAATCCATATTCCAACTTTCTGGAGTTCCCTGTAGGGGCCTCTAGTAATTAGAATGGGCCCTAATACAGTTTAGAAGGGGCCCCCACCCTGTAATAGTGGCTAAAAGGATTATATTAGGGCCCTATTATATTCCTATTATACCACTATTACAGGGTGGGGGCCCCTTCGAAAATACAGTACCCTAACTAGTAGGATCCCTATGAAAAGGGACCCCCAAATAAGGTAGTTTTGGGGTGTAGTATGGCATAAGAATAACAGAGAAGCCTCGAGCATGCTTTTGGCAATTATTGAGCTTCTACATTGCACGACCCAAAAGCACTGCCAAAACGATAGAACAGCAGTGGCAAGGGCCCGGGCAGCTGGGTTCAGCCAGCTGCAAAGCATGTCGCCAGAATCGCAAGGCGGACACAACTCCAGCTCCAACCTTCCAAACTGAGGGCGTTTGCAGGTGTTGGAGTCAGGATGCTTGGAGGTGCAAGGGATGCCGTAAACCAGCAGCACCAGAAGCCCTTCAAACAAAATAACTACAGTGCGCGCGCGCGTGTGTGTGTGTGTGTGTGTGGGGTGTGTGTGTGTGTGTGGGGTGTGTGTGTGTGTGTACGTGTGTGTGTGTGTGTGTGTGTGTGTGTGTGTTTTGAGAAGAAAGAAACAATCATTTTCCTCCGTCCCGTTACACAACTCGCGGTAGTAGAACTAGAACTAGCAGTAGCAGTAGTATAGCAGTAAAATAATAATAGTAGTAGTAGTAGTAGTAGTAGTAGTAGTAGTAGTAGTTGTAGTAGTAGTAGTAGTAGTAGTTGTAGTAGTAGTAGTAGTAGTAGTAGTAGTAGTAGTTGTAGTTGTAGTAGTAGTAGTAGTAGTAGTAGTAGTAGTAGTAGTAGTAGTAGTAGTAGTAGTAGTAGTAGCACCCGCCGCAGTCTTCGCAGTCGACACGATCGTCGCGTGCTGTCGCCGTCATCGTCGCCGTAACAGCAGCTGAAGACAGGCACTCGTGGCACAAGCAGTAGCGTGGTTACAATATTTGCAGCCGGTGCAATCAGCTCAAGTCTCAAGACCATGTGCCAACGAGGCACCTCCCCGCATTGTAGGTGGAAGCTGAGTAGAGATCTTCAGCAGACACGGCCGAACCGGCATCCGTGGCAAAGTCCTGAGCTTTGCTTGAGGATTGGGTTCAGAGTTCAGAGGCTATGGCTCGCAGAGCTCCTCCGTTTATTATACTACTATGATAATACTACGTATACTGTTATGTTCTTCAGATTCTCCGAGAATACAATTATATCACTCCCTGGCGTGTGGCCTGAGGAGCTAGGCCTGACAAACTCAAGCGAAGGTCATGGGCGAAGAATAGGCCGGTCTGCTGCCAGCAACTCCGAGATCGCCATCCGAATGTCATTTATTGGTATGTGTGGTTCCTTATTGTACGTAGTTATTGTATAATACACCACCCCCAAACCCTTTTCTAATTATTATGACACATCGTGCTTCTACTAGTACCATAACTATTGCTATTACTTCGCTAACACCACTACTGTCGTAGATTTTCGAGTTTCTTGTAATCAACTCCCCTTGCTGGTCCAAGGGGCCGTCTTTGGAAGCAGCCTGGCATGATACTCGGGGCTCCGACTTTTGTAAACTCGCAACCAAAAGCCCCTATAAAGCCGTTGAAAAACCTCCGCGGACCACAAGTTAAAAGGTCTAAGGTGTGTTTACAGGTTCAGGGCTTCATACACTTCTCGATTTGATTCGGGGTTTAGAGTTGCAGGTCTTCGTGTTAAGAGACCGACCCAGAAGAAGAGGCATTTTGTGGCTTTAGGACCGGTGTCTTCGGGGTTGGGGCTCCTCATATATCACAACATGATATGCTATAGCAATCTATAGTATGATAGACTCGAGTAAGCTAAAATTTACGATCGATAATGTGGCGATTTTGTTTTCCTAGGCTCTAGTCAACCCGAAACCTGCAGGCGAATGTCAACAACTTTGTGGCATCGCATCGCTTTAACGTCCTTGCAAAAATTCTGGATGGCCCCAGACCCCAGACCTGTGAAAGCGTGATAGCCGCTAAAACCCGAACCCTTGGCAGCATAACGGGTTCAATAACCTGCATTGCCCTGAGAGCACACTGAGGTGTCATGCATCCTTCAGGCAGTACAACGAATAAGAAGATGATGATGATGGGGTTCTCGATTCAAGGGAAGTGCCAACATGATTCCAATGCTGGGCATGTTCCAAACCGTGCCCAAACGTTCGACCAGTTTTGGCCTTGCCTGGCTGCCTGCTGCCAGCCAGTTAGCCTGCCACAGCAACATCACTTGGCAACTTGGCGGGGGGGGTAAGGTTTGAAGCGGACTTGCTTTCGGATGCAAGGTGTGGAAGTCGATCACCCTACTCTGTTCTCCTGAAAGTAAACCTCCTGAGATTCCCTACAAACTGGTCTTTCACTGCTGCCATCTTCAGCTGCTCAACGAACCCCAAAATCTCTACCATTTAAACCCGTTGACGAGCTTCAGTACGTGCGGGATTTGGGATTTCAAGAATCAAAGATTACGGATAACTCTGGTCTCTAAGCTACGTTCTTGTCGGGTGCTATGTGCTGTATTTTGAACCGGAGCTCTACACAAAGATGGTTCTACTTTGACAGACGGATTTCCTGGCCTCGCATCACCTAGCCTTCCTCGAGTCTTCAAGAGGCACAGACTTGGCTAAGACCTGTATAGACCTTCGGGGATAGCACGAAGCTGCAAATGGCGCTACGCTGAAGATCTTCAGGTCTCTGGTAAAGGGCTTCAGCTTTTTTTCCATCGCCGCGTCTCCTCGCGTGCGGTCACTAGGGGCAAGGCCTCTCGGCCGAGCCTCTTGGTTCCAAGGGGCAGGGCGGAGGGTTATACCAGACGGGCGAAGATGTCCAAAAGCCCTGGACTTATATAAGACGGACGCTACGCCGCTACAGCTTGCCGAAATCTGTCCTGCTTTGGTCCTAAATGATGCGCTGCTGTCGGGCAGCCCCCACCCTAAATCCTAATTTGCGAGCAGAACTGCACCCGATAAGATCAAAGCCAACCACCGTCCTGAAGTATCTCGCACCGGGATGCCAAACGCTTGCACGTCGCGCCTCCCTAAACCCTAAACCCTAATCCCTAACCCTTTTTAAGTACATTTAGGGATTAAACCCTAGACCCTAAACCCTGATCCCTAAACCCCAAACCCTAAACCCCAAACCCTAATCCCTAAACCCTATAAACCCCAAACCCTAGTCCGTAAACCCTATAAACCCCAAACCCGGAGCCTCAAGGCTTCCAGCTGCAGCTGCCGAAGGCAGCGCCAGGGGGTTCCCTGCACTCCCACGGACATGTAGTGGGAGTTTCGGACACTTAGGGGTATCGTATTTGGGGGTTCTTATAATAAGGATCCTACTTTTGAGTTTCGTAAAATTAGGGACGGATCCTACACTATTTATAGTAGGGTGCTATCTTAGGGTCCCCTATTTTTGAAACTCCCAAGCAAAGGGATAGTTCAATCATAATCAACAGCCCTAAGCGATAGTTTACTACGAGTAGTTGTGGTCCATAATCTAGAGATTTTGTGTCTAGGCTTTCATATTTAAGGCACCGACTGAAGGGCAGGGAGCGTCTCTGTGTTTGTCTCCTCGTGAATCTATGCGAGATCGTGTGTGTGTGTACGTATATGTGCGGATTTATAAAAATAAGTTACAGCTATGAATAAATCAAGAAAAAACTCTATATATATATGTATATATATATATATGTATTTATATATGCATGTACATATAGAGAGTCTGCGTATAACACATGCACAAACACACACACACACACACACACACACACACACACACACACACACACACACACACACACACACACACACACACACACACCCTCACACACACACACACACACACACACACACACACACACACACACACACACACACACACACACACACACACACACACACACACACACACACACACACACACCTGTACCTGTGGTAACGTCAGGCAGTTTACATAGGTGAGCTTTTTGCCGAACGGCACCCGTCCTGCCTGCACACGGAATATGCTAGGATCGGGGCATCGAGCAGATCTCACCGTCATTTGCACATGTAGGCCTCGGCTCTGAAACTGAGCCTAACGGTCAATTTGTCGGCTAGACTTAGTACCCCAATAAGCCACAGCCGCAAAAAGTTAAACTTTCCGATTCCTACGAAACTATAAGAGCCCAGAAAGTTTAAAGGTTAGGTATTGGAGATCTAAGCAGAGGAGGCTTATCCATCAAGGGCAGAAGCGGGTTAAGGCTTGGACTTAGAAAGGGAGCGCAACTGCCGCAGATACCTGTACTTCCCACAGGCATGGCATACACTACGCAGTATCCGAAACGCGAATCAAAAGGTAACCCTAATCCCTAAGCCACACGTCTTATGAGAAGCTCCAGAAAATGTCTCGGCTGTCCGAGATGCAGAATTGTGGCACTTCGTGTCTAACGTCCGGAGATATACTAAAGTTATTACAGGTTATGCAGCCGAGCAGCGGATGTGCTCATCAGCATATCCTGGCAAGCCCTCGGTTTGGCAAGCTGCAAAGGTTTAACTCTCACAGGGCGGACTCTATAGGATATAGTCATCCACAGGGACAAAGACGAAAGTGAGCACAAACACACGCACACACAGACACAAACATATATGACATACACATAATGCCTAGGCAGAAACACATCATGAGGAGCAGAATGCGATGAACTGACAATGCAAACTGACAAATGGCTGAGTGCCATGCCATCGCTGCTGTCCACAGGCATGCGTCACTCGCCTCGGCTGTGGATAATTCAGAACGGCTCGAAGCCCTATGGCAAACCCTGAACCCTAACCCAGCTCCCTGCCAAGAAACCCCACCAAGAGCCTCAAAAACGATACGACCCAGGACTGCAAAGTCATCCCAAACTCTAAAACCCTACACCTAAAGCCTCGATGCGTTCTTCCCGACAAAGCGCGGTGGCCTAAAGAGCCCCCTTTCGCCAAGCGTAAGCTCGGAATCCGCTCTCTTCGAAGCCTGGACTGGCGTGTACTCTTGGGGCCCCCAAAAGTCTGTATGAATAGGCCCCACGGTACCTCTAGGACCAGGACGGGAAAGAGCAAGTTTTCCCAAAGTGCCACCTAGCAGGGAGTAATGTGGGAGTTTCCGAAAATAGGGGACCCTAACATAGCACCCTAAATGGTAGGATCCCTATTAGAAGGACCCCAAAATACGGTACCCCTAATTTCCGGCAACTCCCATGTATCGCGCAACTTTTGCTTCAGAAGATCTGGGCTCAAGCAGTTCGGAGCGCTAAACTTCAGGGTGTTAAGATCAAAGAAGCCTCGTCACATTGCGAACTCAGGTCTCAGTCTGGGCTTAGGGTTTAGGGTCTCAGTCTGGGTTTACGGTTTAAGGGGTAGAGGGTTTAGAGTTTAGGGGTTTAGGGTTTCGGGGTCATCGCGTCTGGAGCCTCAGCGTGCAATAGGGCTTCTGACTCCCGCAACTCGCACAAGGCATGCAAGACTTCACGACGACGGGTCCAAAGCTACCGATCTGTCCTTAAACAGCTGGGACTTTGAGAGTTTGCCTTGAACCTCGAGCTGGCCCATCAGAAGTGACAACCTGGCAAAGTTGTGAGTTTACGTCGGGGTTCTGGTTTGGCGAAATCACCAAACCTGAACTTGCAGTTAACATGGAAACCTGAATCCGCGAAAAACGCCCTCAGAATTACCTCATGCAGGCCCAAACCGCTAAACCCAATGGATCAGGCAAAGGGCCGCGAAGTGCTACATGCACAGGCGTGCACGCTTCGCCGCGCAGCACCTGTGAACAAGGAGGCAGCAGAGTCCCCGTTGACCGCTGGAATGTAACGGGACTTAAGGGTTTAGGGTTTAGGGTTTACTCCGGAGCGCAACTCCCTGAACCTCAAAAATCCCGAAACTAAACCTTCAATACATTAATCTGACCGCCTAGCATGAGCATGCCTGAACACCTAGGAAGGCAAAACCCCAACCATCAACCCATGAAGACTTGAGGAACACCGCCCTCTAATCTGTCAGATGTAAGGTCCTTTTTGCCACTGGACTCAAGCCTAGCCAGTCTAGGACCCACTATCATCTTGACCGAGGCCGACATGCAGCACCGATACCCAATGCCGCCTTTCGGAGGAGTCGAAACCCAAACCCCCAAAGTCCAAAACTTTACAGTAGAAGTCAGAAAGTTGGAACATCACTGGCCTCATGCCCTTAAGGTAAAGTATAAGGGATCCTAGCACTAATCCTCCTAAAGTCATGTTCCAACTTTCTGGCTTCTACTATAACCCTAAAACATGCTCAGATCGTAACTCGTAAACCCCCCCCCAGACAGTCACATTTTGGACCCTAATGTAGGGGCATTCCTATGTAATTTAAATAGGGGTCGGAAGGTTGTTAAACTATAAGTATAAGATAATAAGGACACCCCCAAACCCTATTTTCAATATTAAGGCCCCTACGTGAAGTACCCTTTTAGATCCCTTCTAGTAACCCTAAGAGACTCTAAACCCTAAACCCTGAACCGTGCTCGCTTAAAGGAAGCTTATTGAACGCATTGAGACCAGTGGCTGTGCAACTGCGAGACGCCGCTCCGTCTCGTAAGATATCCGAGCCAAGGCAGCTGGAAAAAGCGCGGAGTCTTTGAGTTTAGGGCTTAGGGGTTTAAGGGTTTCGGGTTTGAGGGTGTAAGGGTTTACGGTTTAGGGGTTAGAGAGGTTGTGTTTAGGGTTTCGGGTTTTAGGGGTTTAAGGGTTTTAGCGGTTAGAGGTTTAGGGTTTAGGGTTTCGGGGATAGGGTTCCGGGGTTAATTAGTGGTTTAGGGTTTAGGGTGAGTTTGGGGTTTCAAGTCTCAGTTTCTAAGGGCTTGTGATCTAGGGGCCTTAATAATTGCAAATAGGGATCCATTTTTTTAAGGGGTCTACAAGGGCTACTATACGGGTCATTATAAGGAGGTAATAGTGGGGCCTTGATGATTATTATAGTATAAATACAATAGGGAACCGTTTTGGAAAACGTCAGACCCCTAAAGTAGGCTTTTTAGGGGGCTTAGGTCTGGCAAACCGTCCAGCAAGTCGACAAGATGGTCTTTGCATGCCTCGAATATTCGACATGAGCACAACCCTAAAACATAAGTCTGTGCTGAGCAACTACCTTATATCGTAACGATACGGCTGTGCAGTGTTTACATCACGTCCTCACATTGAGTACGACCAATGAGAGCTTCAATTTACAATTGCAATGACAGCAAGCGTAACCGAAGCAGAAGCAGCAGCAACAAAGCCAACAACCAATGCAGGAACGATGAGTGAACTAAAGCGAATGAAGGGTCAGTCACCGACCAGTACGACCAAAGCTAAGTTTAAACTACTCTTAATCTAGACCTCTAAATACACTACGCCCTAACTTCAAACGACTAAACCCCTAATCCTAGCCATAAAGCCCCTAGCATCAGGATCTCCACTATGGTCCTAAACCGTATCCTAGCTAAACATGCATGCTTGTGAAATCTTAGACCCGCCGCTAGAGGCTCTGCACTGGGCCATGAGTCGTTGGCCGCCTTCCCCTCACTCACCCAAACTCAGAATCTACAGAGTATAGGGTTTCAGCATACTATATAGACCTACCTACATACTTACATGCATGGGCACCTATGACTTTACATTCACGAACATGTATGCGTACATATGTACGCACACAGAGAAAAATACATACACACGCATGCACCTCTCCATTCACCTCGGTTTAGGCTCCCAAGTTTCCTCCTCTCCGCACAGGGCCCAGGGCTCAGCGTGGCAGCATGCCATCGGGCTAGTGCAACTCAGTCCCAAGTTTAGGGTTTAGGGTTTACTAGGGTTTAGGGTTAAACTCCGAAACCCCCCCCCCCCCCCCGCTGTAGGACCGTGAAACGCCTCGAAACATCCCGAATATCAATCCGCTTTTGCACCCTTCAACCTGCAACCTAATCTTCAAGCCTGAGCCCAGAACCCTGACATCCTAAAGCATAAATCGAAAGTCAAAACTCCAGACCCAAAACCTGAAAACCAGAAGCCCGGAAAACCAAACACCCTGAACCCTAACGTCCCGAAAAGCCCGACGCCCTAGCAAGGGCCGGGGCAGCAGATGGCGCAGATGGAGCCTCGAGCGTAGCTAGGCGTTGAGGCTGAGGTTCCTAGCTTAGTACAGCGACCTTCATAATAAGTGTGCTACTATTAACTGGGTTGTGCTTTAAACCCGTTGAAAATTATTTATGAATAGGTTCCCTTTATAAGAAATAAGGGAAATTTAAAATTATCCCAAAGCACAACCCAGTATTAAGGTTTAGCACAGGGGCCTTCAACAAACTAGAATACTACTAGAGGCCTTCATAACAATCAGTATATTACTCTTCAGGTTTAGCACAGGGGCCTTCATATAACTCATATATTACTATTAAGGCTGACCACAGAGGCCCTAATCATCATGAGAACCACTAGACGAAGTTCCGGGCCGAAGATTTCGGAGGCTGCCAGCCGGAAAGTCGCCAGGGTTTGTGCAGGAGAAGGTTGGGGCCTTACCCAAAGACATATAGAATCCTATAAGGTAATCCCAAAAAGGAACTACTTTGGGGCCTCTGGGTAAGAATTAGAATGGGGTTTGGAGGGATCCTTCTAGCAGTTATAGTACGGTATAGGGCGCTTCTAAAGCGGGTTTTAGGATGGTTTCGGTGCTCAGAATCGGACAATCCAGGCGAGGCAGTAGGAGGGTTTAGGGCCTTAGGCCGAAGAGCTTGCAGCTTCATAGAATAGGGGCCTTCATCTTTAGAACGGGGTTTTAGTGTAGAAGGCTGGTAAACCTGCAAGGAATATGCACTTATTCCGACCTCTACATTGCAGGGTTTTGGGCCGACTCTTTCCGGCCACCCCGAGCTCAGTCTGTGGGATGACTTCATGGCTGGAGCTTAACTGCTCCTCTTGCTTGGGTGCCCGAAAAAAGCACCCTAATCTCCTCGGTGACTGGTACTGCCGTGCGCCGCACTGATCGCCGCTGGCATCTTTGATGAACCTGGCCCAGAGGGTGGATCCCGTTGATTCAATTGGGAGTCTGAGTCTCTGAGTTAGCGATGTTTAGTTGTGTTGTTTGGGTCTCGCACGGGGCTAGGATCCGGGCTTGCTACAACTGTTGCAAACTGTTGCGAAAGTTTTGGTTAAGGTCTCGCATAGGAATTCAGGGGGTAAAACACTAAACTTCATTGAACGTTCGCAAGGGAAACATCTGAGCCCTAACTGCTGGCGACATTTTGCTGAGGCATGATGTCTAAGAGCTTGTGTTAGGCCCTAAACCTCTGGGCATCACTTTGTGTAATTGAGGCTTCCATGGCAAGCTGAGGTGCATACCATCAAACCACAAGCCCAAAGTAAAAGACTCTAAGCCCAACCCTGGGCCCTACAGACTTCGAAAAACAACACCAAGAACGAAGACCTCAAAGCACTGCTTTGTCGCAGCTCGGTATCCAAGCTTTCCTTCAAGACAAAAACACGTTAAAGACACCTCGCTGGGAAACCATCCCTTATGTCGAGGCTCTAACTTTGCGCAAACAGGCGTAGCACGTCGCTCAACAGATAGTCTTGTTTTTCTACCAACTTTAATGCTGGTGTATGGCCTAGCCTGCTAGATGCATCTTTGACACTGTTGTGATTGCACATTGCCATTGTCATCAAAGCATTCCGTGGTTGGATCAAGCACGTTTCACCAAGTCCAGAAAGCACACCTTTTGTGTCTCTGCAGATTAAGCGACGCACGCATCCAGCACTCTAAGGCTTAAGGTGCGCTCCAGCGCTTCCGAGATTCCCTGCACGTGCAGGCTGCCGACCACGGCAACGATGCGTCGCTTGCCCTTCTGAGCGGCCCTGGCATCATGAGGCTGAAAGTTCAAGGTGGGGCACCGAGAAAATGTGCGATATTATAGGGTCGTAAATAATTACCTATACTATTTTGGGGGGTTCCTGATACAAAGTATAGCATTACAGGACCCAAACCCTATTGTAAAACTATGAAAGCCCCTGTATTAGCTGATAGTAGTCCCGGCTGTCTGCTATGTCTGCTGCCTATGGCCAAGCAAAGGCAACATGCAGCTACCAGCCGAATCTGCATTCCTCGACCCGAAGCACTTCAAGCCTGCGCTCTGAAACCCCCTAAAACCAACAACCAAAAAAACGAAACGAAAACCGTGAAGCCCCAGACCCTAAAACATCAGGTTGCACTCGGTTTAATATTGTAAAGTGCAACATTGAACCTGGGACACAAAGACCAAAGCCCCAAACCAATCCCCTAGACCATGAACCTTAGGTCCAATATCAATCCTCAGACACTGAATCCCGACATCCACCCCTAAATCCTGAAGCCTGAAACAACAGACCGGCCTAGCCAAGTTAGCTGCCATGTACTCGTCTCCTTGGATGCAGGAGAGGCATCGAATGGTAGAGTTTACGTGGACCCTGCAAAAGGGCACTTTATGCTTTCTATATGGGTAGTGGTCAAAATGATGGTCCCTTTTGGGGTACCCTGAATAATAGGTGCCGTATTAAAACAAGGACCCAAACAGGGACCCTAATTTTGACAAGAACCCAGAAATAGTTCCCTAAGAAGGTGGGCTTTTTGGGTTGCAGGTAGGGTTTAGGTGCAGATTTTTTTTGAATGTTCACACCCCAGGTACAAGCCAGCATCAAAGCACGTGCGGCAACAGGCCACAGGGTTTAGGGCCCTTGATTGTAGAATCGAACACTTACTCTGCGAGCATGTCACCTCGAATCCCAAATTTCTGTTTAGCATGGGTGCCCCCCAACACAGAGCAGGCCACGACTATCATACATCATACGTACACCCGAGGAGCTGAGCACACTAGCCCAGAAGGTTAACCTTTTAACATGCAAACCCCGAAATTCTACAGGCCTACCCAACCCCTAATATACTGCGCTGTCTCTGCATTCTCTGCAGCGTCGGCTAGGATACAGGACATGTCGCTTCGACCCACAGGGTTTGTTGTTCTTGTGCGCTTTTCTGCTCTACTTCGTGTGCAGTCGTGAGGGCCACAGAACCCCAAACACTCAACCTTTAACCCTGAACCCAATGAACACCCTGAGCCCTGAGCCTTTAACCCTAAACAAAATGAAACCCTCAACCGCTCGAAAGCATTCAAAAGCCCTACGCCAGGAAGCTCTCGCCCACCAGGGCGGCGAAAAGCTCGGGTGCGGAGCCCTTCCCGGCAGCTTCTGATGGATTCTGCTGTCTTTAGCGGTTTAGGTGGGTACTTTCAGGGTTTCTAGGTAGGCTCCATAAGGGTCTGATGATCATGATGAGGGTTTTCAAAAAGAAGGCTTTCCGGGTGAAGGGCCGGGGTTTAAGATCGTGCGAAAAGGTTTCTAACATCAGGGCTTTCGACGGGCTTTGTTTGGGCATGAAGGGGTTGTGGGTTTGGACGGCAACCAACACCAGCAGCAGCACCAGAGGCACCAACGAGAACGACAAGACGAGGACGGGGACGCAGGACGATGTTAGCAGAGCACAATCCTGAGCATCCAAATCAATGGCCTTGAATGCTCGGCGCAACCGCTTGGCAGTGGCCTGATCCGTAGCACTGTCCACCAAGGCCTGTTCCGGGCAGACCCTAAACTCCGCAATCCTAAGCCCGGTAAACGCTAAACTCCCCAGCCGAAAAATCCTGAACTCATAAACCCTCAGATGATATCCTAATGCGGGATGGGCCTATGGCGGCATGCAAGACCCAGAAGGTCTGATCGCCAAGAACCCCCGAAGGGCTAAAGGTCCAGTTCGTATAAAGATTTAGGTTCGAGGTTAAGGGTCTAGGCTTAAGGGTTAACCAGCACCCCCAAGTACCCTTTCATAGAGCCCTTATGGTCCTTAATAGTGGGTATATTTGGGATATATTCAAGGGCACTTGGGGGTCTATGAAGGGCTAAGTTCCTCAGTAGCCCCTTTATAATAAGGGTACCCTGTTTGTTATTATTCGGTTCTAGTAAGGGGACCCTGAAAAAAAGGCAAAAGTGTACTACTCAGGAACCAACAGGGTGTTCCTGTGCGGATACACAAGAACGACTCTTGTGGAGCGAAGGAAACTCTATCTGGATCCTGCAGCAGGTTCTCTTTGGTCACGTGAGGACCGGGCTCTGGTCTATGGTTTAAGGTTTTTGGGTTTAATTAGGGGGGTTGAGGGTTTTAGGGGGGGTTTAGGGTTTAGGGTTTTGGGGTTCTTGTTGTTTCTACACCTTTCATGTGTTCCTCAGGCTTTGGGGTTTGGGTGCCCACGTAGTGACTGCGACCATTTTCGGGCACGGAGGTCAGCTTCGAGGCTGACAAAGGTTGGTCGCACCGGCGAGGAGACGAGTGGCTATCAACCGGCGACGAAAGCAGCAGGCGCCATACGCTTCTGAACTGTGGGGTCGCTTGGCTTGGGATAGGGTGGGATAGGACAGTCTTGAAGAGAGGCGAGGATGACAGGATCAGGGTAGTTCTCTAAATTCGGGTCGCTTTATAAATCCCCCAAAAACGGATCCAACCCCTTAAAAACAGGACCCTCAAAGAAGCCCGAATTCAGGGAACTGCGCATAATATAGGGGCCTTAATAATTAGAAAAGGGTTTTGCGGCCCATTATACTGTAACTATACTTATAAGGAAGCCCCAAAATAGTATTGGTAGTTATTTAGGCCCCTATATGGGAGTTTCCGAAAATAGGGACCCGAATGTAGTACCCTAAACAAGCGGTATCCTCAATATAAGGACCCCCAAAATAAGGGTACCCCTGATTTTCGGAAACTCCCTAAACCCCTATCGAGCCCTCTAAAAGGAACCCTTATAGTACCCCTATAGTAACCCCTTTAACTTTAAAGGAACCCTTGATACCCCACAAGTCGTCGTTTTCTAGGGCGAGGCTGGGCTGGCGCAGACCACGCCTGCAGCCCTAGGCCGCTGGTGCGCAGCTCGGGCACCGAGATGGCCAAGTCCTGGGTTTAGGGATCAGGGAAAGGGGGTTAGGGGTTTAGGGGACTAGGGGTTTAGGGGACTAGGGGTTTAGGGGTTTAGGGTTATAGGGTTGTTTGGTATAGGGTTTAGGGATTAGGGGTATAGGGTTTAAGGGTTTAGGGATTCGGGGTATAGGGTTTAGGGGATTAGGGGCTTCGGGATTAGAGGGTTAAGGATCCTCAAATCTTCAGGAACAAGCTACGTGTTAGCTCAATTGATAATTCAGTTTGACCTGTATACCGTATACCCTCAACCCGGAGTGGACGCCCTGGGGTGAGTCAGTCCTCTTCCAGCTGTGCAAGGTCTGATGACTGCCCTGCTTCGACCAGCCGATTCAGTGTATCCTGCCCGAGGAGGACTAAGGAAACGAAGGTCGTTTTGGTTGATGGAAGTGTGTTTCAGAGGGTGTAAGGTGAAGGATTCGGGGCAGCCGGGCCGTGGGGAATATAGGATCTTATCATCCGCGAAGCGGGCGGCATGTAAAAGCTCTTGGAAGCAGACGGAGATAAGTGCAAGTGAAAGACAACATCACAGCAACAAAGGAGGAGAATAGCAGGATACTGAAATCACTGACATGAAGAAACATATCAGAAATTTAATGGCAGCGGCAACTGTGTCAAAGGCTCGTGCTGGCCCGGAGCACCACACACTCACCAAATCCTGAACCCAACCCTACACATTAAGCCCGGCACCTTGTCTTACTACCCCAATAGGCCACAGAAATAAAAGCCTAGATTTTCCGATTCCTACTAAACCATAAGAACCCAAAACGTTTAAAGGTTAAGTATCGGAGATCTATAAGCTTGCCCTCCCATGATTATGCGAGGCTCTGCCGAACTCCCAGTCTGAACCAAGACTCGCCTGAAACACCAAACCCCACACCCCGAAAGACCAATAACAGAAAATTTAGGGGTGGTTGTCAAAATTAGGGTCCCTTTTGGGGAACCCTAAATAATAGGTGCCGCACTATATTAGGGACCCAAAAAAGGGACCATCATTTTGACAACCACCCATATAGTTCCCAACTCGGTTTAGGGTTTAGGGATCCCCAACTCGCATGCAAACTGCACAACTTCTCAGTCATTCCCCTGCCCCATATCGAAACTTACTACAAGTGGTCCCATGAAGGTTCTATCAGATGTCTCTACTAGGTTGTAGAAAGGTTTCACTGCGAATCCGAATCAGAGCCGAAGACTCTACACCCTACCGGCTCCCGCCTAAACCCTGCAGTTAAAAGATGTCAAAAGCCTAAATCCTACACATCCATATAAGGCCTAGCAGCATCATCTCCGAACCGTAAACCCTTTTGCATCCAGGCCTATTGCGACTGCCGGGTACCCTGAAGAAGAAAGGAAACTGAGGGCCAGGCAAATCTGCAGCCGTAAACCCTGAACCCCCGAACTCTTGCGGTAGGTTCTGTAGTTAGTCGGAGGACAGGTAGTAACCTGCCCTAAACCCTAAACCTCAATATCAAAATGTCTCAATCACCGGTGCCCCAAGGCCGAGAGAATGCGTTGAATACTCGGATTCGCCGTGAGGCTCAGGAATTTTCAGTGCTTAAAACACCCTGAAACCATGACACACCCAAAACCTGACCTGTGGTCCAAAAGACCAAGCTTTGTAAGCAGCTGTATGTGAATTCCATAATCAGGAGCCCTGCAAAGGCTCCAGGGAAGGAATAATGGGTGTTTTAGCTACGTCTGTGGGCCCAAGGCCCCCCATCCCAGGCTCAACATTAACAGTCAGTGTCAGACAGAGCTGCACAACCTTAACCCAACAAACACATGGCGTCCTGCCCCTGAGCTCTACACTGACCTAACCCTCAAGCCCTCATTTTTATCATAACCCGAAACCCTAAAAGGTTCGGCTCACCTGTGCCGGACGATCTCCAAGCATCACCGGCGTGCCGATCTTTCCGGCCTCCTGCGCTAAAAGATGAGTCTGGATATAGGACTTCTACTTGGAGGATCATGGGACTTAGTAAGTAAGGTTACAAGTCGGTTATACTTAGGATAACCCCACTTAGGGGACTTATATCCCCACTTATAACCTACTTACTAAGTCCCATGATCCTCCAAGTAGGGCTTGACTTGGGTTCGGGGGGAGTTTGATGGTCCAAGCGGGGACCGCAAGGGTACTCATGTGATTTCAGGTGAAAGGGAACGGAGACGTAGCTATGGGATTTGGTGCTTTAGGCTTTCATACGGTGTTGGGTTTAGGGGTTTAGAGTTTAGTGGTTTTGGAGTTTGGGGTTGAGGGGTTGAGAGGCTTAGGGTTTATTCAGCTTGGAGCTGTTAGGATTCAGGGCTTGCGGCGTTCACTCTCGGACATGCCAGGCTTAGAGGTGAAACCTAGAGATCAATGGAGGTGGTTCGGGGACTAGAATTTCATGAAGTGGTGCTACTCTCCTGAAGTGAAGGTCTTTAATTTTTTTCTTTGTAGCAGGATGACAGTCCCAAGCTGACGTGACCGTCCCAAGCGGACGTGTTTGGACAACCAGGACGCTCCCGCCAGCCCCACATCTGGCCCACTGACTGTACAGGTGTGGCGTCTTGGTTGAAGCGGGGAAAGGCAAGGCTGCAGCCTAAATAAATAAATATATATATATATGTATATATGTATATGTATATGCATATAAGTATATGTGTGTACATACACATGCACACATACATACATACATATATACATACATACATACATACGTACATACATACATACATACGTACCTACATACATACATACATACATACATATATATATATATATACATATACATATGTATGTATCTATCTCTTTCTACAAGATTTCGTAGCTACTCGTAAATTTCACAGATCGGCTGCCACCGATCTCTCAACGCACCCCTTGGGGCCAAGGATACACATGGTATTGTACTGTATCATATAAGTACTACAGGGCCCCGATAATTAGAATAGGAAGGCCCGAAATAGACCAGGCAATTATTGAGGCCCCTGTATTTGTCCTAACACCCTTTTTGCCAAATCCGAAGACCTAAAGGTACCTGGCCTAAAGACACAGTGAACAAAATCGCTACGAATTAGGGCCGCTCTCAGAGCTGCGGAGCCTGGCTAGATACCAATACGGTGTAGGGTTTTGGGGTTTAATATAGGGGCCTCAATTATTACCACTACTGTTTTGGTGGTTCCTTTTCATAGTTATAGTATAATGGGCCCCAAAATCCTATTCTAACCACTAAGGCCCCTACGTTAGGGCTTGATAGTGGTGCTACTTTCCTCGTTCAACTCTTGTCTCACTGTAGCAGATTGACCGTCCCAAGCGGACGAGACCGTCCCAAGCGGACGCATTTGAACAAAAAGGACGCTCCCGCCAGCCCCACATCTGGCCCGACTGACTCCGCAGGTGGCGTCTGGTGGGAAGAGGGGGTACCCAGAGACTCCAATATCCCTTAATTCAATTACGGAATCTATACCTTAAATTATAGTAGGATCCCCAATATGATTTGAGGAACATTCCTTAATTAAGGGATATTGGAGTCTCCGGGTATGCAAGGCTGTAGCAAGATGAGTTTCGCAGCTACTCCTGAATTTCACGGGTCAGGCGCCAGCTGGCAGATTGGCCAACGATCTATCAACCCATGGGTCCAAGGGCTTTGGCCCCTCGGCTCTAGAGGTCCCCAAAAACACCTGAGGATGTACATGGTACCCAAAGGCCCCAAAGTTCTTCCTTGTTTTGGGGTTCGTATATAGAACCCTATAAGGTCATCCCAAAAAGGAACTACTTTGGGGCCTCTGGGTACTGCATCAGAAATATTCTGAGCCTGTTAATTGTTTGAGTCTAGGCGCCTGTAGTCTGAGCCTGAACCCTGAACGCTAAATACGAAGCCGTAAAGACACAGCAGCGACCAAATCTTTGAGAAACTTTGAGAGTCGCTGCGTAACAAAGACCGCGCTCAGGGCAAAGAGACCTGGTTGAATGCAAGTTCAGCAGCACTCTGCGATAGTGTCAGCTGCCGCTCCTCCACCGCAGCCAACACCTGCCCGCCCCGCCGCCGCCAAGGGCTGTGCGGCAAAGGGGACAAGTTTGGGCGATGCGGAACCACGTTGCCAGGCAAGCCCTGTGAAAAACGTGCCTTTCCCCACTGCACGGTGTCATCACGATGTCGGTGTCATCAGCAGAGAAGTCCGCCAAGCAGATGGAGCAGCTCACGGGGTAGCCGCCGTCATCTTCCACGAAGTCCTCCGGCCGAAACGGGATGTGCTGGAAGCGCCTCGTTAGGTCGCCAGGGTCCGGGATGATTCCTGGGCTTTGAAGTAACCAAGGAGAAAAAGTATAAACTTTTACCTTCACCATGATGGTTCCTTTGAGAAAAGAGTGTTAAAGTATGGCACTCCAAAGCCCAGATTCCTGTTCGGTATAGGAAGGGCTTCAGACATTGAAAGGTGATGTAAAGGACTTGCAGGAAGTAGGGTGTGAGCAACAGCAAACAGCTCAACTGCAGTTCCTTGGAGCACTTCCCAGTCGCCGAGGAGATGCAAAGGCAGACAAAGGTCAGCATCGGCCAAACTAGCTCGAAAGCCACTGCCAAAGCGACCGCCGGGGCCTTAATCACATAGAAGTAAACCAGGGGCAAACGCGAATTTTCGCGTGACCATCGGCATCGGACAGTGATCACCACCGCCAAACACCAGATGTAAAGCAAGGACACCCTGACCAGCAAGGCAATCCAAAACATGGCCGACAACAGGCCCAAAGGCTGGCCGCATGCATCATCCCAGTGGTTGAAGAAGAGGTTTAAGAAGCTCTCCATGATCGCATCGGTAATGTCCAGGCGGAAGATCAAGTCAAAGCCCCGGGTCACGGTAGATACGGCTATCCACAGGATCAAAACGATATGAGGCACGATAACACCAGAAAACAGGGCGAACGAGATCAGATTGGAGAGGCGCTCCATGACCCAGTTTCGAAGCACCGTTCTACGTCTCGCTTCATCATTCGCCACGCCCTGCGACACGAGATCTTCCAGGCTCCGCTCTCCAACGAGCACGGATGATAAATCCCGTGCAGCTTGGAAGGACATGGATACCTTAAGCCCCTATAGCCCAAAGTTTCTGGAACCAGGGGATCCTGCCATTCAGTATTTAAGGTCAGAACTTCGTTCAACTACATGAAGTTACAATATGTCATTGCGGGCTACTGAAGGCTGCTCCAATTGTGAACTCCCCCATCTTCGGATTGTCAATCCTGAAAGACATAATAACCAGAATCCGCTGCAAAGAAAAGCAATCATCCTCCTGGAAGGAAAGCGACGGCACAAGCCGCAGTGCAGCTGTTTTCTGCAAGACTGGCCCCGTGTTGGAGAACTTAGTTTAAGTTAAATGGGATCTACAGTTCATAATCTGGTTTAGTCTAAGTTACCATAATAGGGATCTATAGTAGACAATATGTTAGATGGGAGTTTCCGAAAAGAGGCGACCCCAGTATGGTACCCTAAATAGTAGGATCCTTATCATAAGGGCCCCAAAATCAAGTACCCCTAATTTTTGGAAGTCCCCATATGGTTTATGATTTCCTAATTATGGTAACTTAAACTAAACCCCCATACCCTTAAAGGAACCCTTATAGATCCCTTTAAGGAACCCGTATAGATCCCTTTTAGGAACCGCAAAAGCACATAAGCATAAGCACTTTATAGGGATATCCCTACCTTATTGTGCTTCATTATAAGGGGGTTTACATGGGAGATCCCTGTCCCAATTTTTGCTTATGTGCTTTTTGGGGGGCCCTAAATTTTTAGGAACCCTTATGGCTTCCGTAGTATGGTAACTTGAACCCCGTAGCAAGAAGCCAGAAGAGGGCTCTGGAGCTTGGGAGCTCTCAGAAGGGTTAAAGTTCCGGGTTTCGGTTTCGGTAGGGTTCAGGGTCTGGTTTAGGGTTCAGGGTTTCTGGGTTCAGGGTTCAGGGTCTGGTGTAGGGTTCAGGGTTTCGGGTTTGGGTTCAGGGTTTAGGGTTTGAGGTTTAGGGGGTTTCGGGTTTAGGGTTTAATTAAGGGATTTTGGGTTTAGAGTTCAGGGTTTAATTAAGGGATTTCGGGTTCAGGGTTCAGGGTTTTAAGGGGCCCTCTCGAATTCAACAACAGCCAGAGATGGTTCGACCCAATCACTCCTCGATCGCCGCTAGCATCTCCGACCCTGCTGGAGTGTTCAGATACCTCAGTCGGATGATGTAAAAACAAGGGTCTTTCTCATTTAAGAGTCTTGTGGGCTGGTAGTAAGTATAAATGCTATGGTAGTATTGCAATTACAAGAGGACTTTCAGGGGATATGACTATATACAGATTACGTATCTTCGGAAAGCTGCGACGATAGCTAAGGGCCCTAATATATCCTGCACAGGAAAATTTAAGCCTCAGGTTAGAGTTACAGACGCCCACCCGAACGTGCTTTGTTGTAGGGCCCCTAGTAGCTGAACTGCCTCAACCCCTGAACCATATCAACCTGAAGCCGACTGTAGAAAGCAGGGCTCGGGTCTTACGGGACTCCAATACCGCTTAATTAAGGAGTATTCCTTAAATCATATAACAGGGGTCCTACTATAAGTTAAGGCATATTCCTGAATTATGGGATATTGGAGTCTCTGGGCCTTCTTGCCCCGGGATTTTTTCCTCTCGCATGGCCGGAGTCGAAAAGTGCACCAGCGAGGAAGTTTCGGGACGCAAAATTACAGTAGAAGCCCAAAAGTTGGAAACCCAATAATAGCCTCGATCCTTAAGAGCATTTTATAGGGAATCCCAGCATTATTTGGCCTTAATCCGGTTTCCAACTTTATGGGGTTTACTGTACTGTAGTACGAGCAAATCGACAGCGAGAGCGGGCTTAGGGATCGGGGTTGGGGTTTGAGTACTGTTGGAATCAACTGGCACTTCTGCAAAGGTCGCCTTCACAATCGCAAGGCTTAGGGATTTGAGGTTCTAATTACAGGGGCTCTGCAAGGGTTCAAAAGGACTCTTTGACGGGTTGAAAAGAAGGAGAAGGTACGGTAAAGGTGCTTAGTGCTAAGCGGAGTACTAACCGGTGCGGCACTCCACAAACCTAAACCCTCTTGTCATAGCCGAGATGCTTCTCAAAGGCCCGATAAATCCTGGGACTGGAGGGTTTGGCGGTTTTAGGGTCGTGCAGATTAGTGGTATTCAGGGTTCAGGTTCAGGGTTTCCTCCAAGGCGCGGAACACAATCCTCGGCCCGCAATCCTCATCAAAACCCGAGCCACATTTTGCCAAGGGCTCAAATCCAGACCGAAACGAAGGACACCCGCCGCCAGCTGGAGCGCAGCGTCGGCAGAAGCCTTCCTCGACGGCGCGGAAACACCAAACCCTCAAAACTGTATGAACCACCGAGCCTGAACCCTAAACCCCACAGGGTCCTAGGTACTCCTATGGGGGATACTTCCCAAAATTATACTGGTAGTTCTTAATATGGAAACCCTATAGTACTCTATAGGTACACATAGGACCCTAAACCCTAAACCCTAAACCCTATAGTACTCTATAGGTACACATAGGACCCTTTGGGAACCCGTAGTTGAAGGGCTCGGTAGTTTAGGCTCGCGGCGTGGGGTGCCGAGATGGCCTTCAGAGAGCAGCTTCCCTCCCTTGCGTTATAAGGGCCTTAAATAGGATACTACAGGGGGATCTATAAGGGCTATTAGAAGCGATAAGGACTTTTTGCATAATTAGGCTGGGTCTCGGTCACAATCGCAGGTCCCGTGCAAGCAATCACCACACCAGAAGTAGAACAACACGCCAAACACATGTAGATAGCTAACATCAACAAGGCATAAGCAATGGACGTGAACATAACCACTCTTTAGTCCTGTATTTAGACCCTCCACCATCCCACACCCAAAGAGCTAAAATGCAAGAGCAGCGGCCGGGCCGTGGAGAAGAAGTCAGATGGTGCCTGTGCTCAAGAGTCTGCTTGTGGGAGATCTGGAAGTTTAGTACTTGGAGGATCCTGGGACTTAGTAAGTAGGTCATAAGTGGGGTTATAAGTCCTCTAAGTGGGGTTATCCTAAGTATAACCTACTTATAAACTTACTTACTAAGTCCCATGAGCCTTCAAGTAGACCCTAAACCCTAAACCCCTCAGATCCCTGTAAGGAATCCTATAGATCGCTTTAATTTAAAGGAGCCAAGTAGGGTTCAGGAGCTTCAAGTTCAAGGTGTAGCGTTGTGCCTGAGGTGCGGAAGTGAAGTGCATCAGGCTGGGCATGATGGCATGCGCGCTGCAGCCCCTCCTCAAAGTTGGGCTTACCCAAAGGCCCCAAAGTAGTTCCTTTTTGGGGCTCATATATAGAATCCTATAGGGTAACTCCAAAAAGGAACTACTTTGGGGCCCCTGCATAAGGTTCAGGGATCCTACTGTTTAAAGTACTATAGGCTCCTTTCTTTTCTGAAGCTCCCTCCTGTCTGTATAAACGAAGTGTCTTTTCCAAGTTCTTGCACGTACATGGCATGTACGTAACATGACAGTAGCGCATAGTTATTGGATGGAAGTTGGGTGGTTATTTTTCTGTGCCCAAGACTTTGTCGTCGCCAAGGATAGCACTCAGCATAGGCTTCCTCAAAATGTCTAAAGGCCACTACTCCAGAACCAAAAAAACTTCTCTTGAGGACGGGTGGCTCCCCTTGAACATGACATCCTTATCTCGGTCAACACCCGGTGCCAGTGCAAACATTTTTCAGAAAGCCCTCGAAGATCTGATAAGAGAGAGAGCTTGACTGCACTGTCGATGTGTGAAAAGGACAAGAGTGAGTCCATGTGACCTACTTCAATTAGAGGTTGGAAGACAGCTGCCGACCTTAGTAGAGGTTTGAATTGGTCGAATAAGTAAGAATACTGATCAATGAAGCCCCCATATGGGAGTTTCCGAAAATTATGGGACCCTAATATGGCACCCTAAATAGTCGGATCCTTACTATAAGGACCCCCAAAATACGGTACCCCTATTTTCGGAAACTCCCATATTGATCTTACTATACTACAGCTACCAATTGGGTTCCCCTGAGGGCAAGTCATGCTTGTATTCAGGCCCCGATATGGGTGGTTGTCAAAATTAGAATCCCTTTTTGGGTCCTTAATATAATACGGCACCTAATATTTAGGGTACCCAATTAGGGGCCATAATTTTGACAACCTTTTAGCATGGAAAGCTTGGAACGGCCTCCGCCGGAGGTGGGGCCGTCGTCTTGCTACTGCGTGTGGAATTCTTGGCCAGGCCTTCGCCGAGGGTTTAAGGCTTAGGGCCTATGGGGTTCAAAGGAGCTTTCACGCTTGGGAATTTATGGCTCAGGGTTTTACATAGGCCTGGGGTCTTCACCAATATAGGTTTCGTGAAGCTCTTATGAAATGAGCGCCTTGTTTGTAGCAGTCAGCTTGCGAGGTTCAGAGTCTGAAGCGCAGGGGTTAAGGGCTGACGCACCCCCGGAAGTGCTTAAACTGAAACAACGACACCTCAGCTCCAAGCCAAACTCGGGATTCGAGGCTGATAGTTCCTCAACCTCAATCCTAAGCTCGGTTTTGTAAAATCAACCATTGCGGGAAGAAGCCAGGCAGGAAACCCACAAGAGCACAAGCTCTTCGGAGCTGAAGGTCGGAAGAGCGCAGAAATCACAGAGTGCACAGTCCACAGTTCAGGGTCGCATGTTCCAAATTCATGCTTTTGCTCTGGGGAGGGGTGTCCGACAGCGGCAGATGATATAGTCCGAAGCAGCCCTCTAAGAGGCTCCGAGGTTACCGGTGTGGGTGGTAGGGAGAGGCGTGTCTTCAAGTCTGCACATTCGCTCTTTCCAGCTCGCGGCATGGGATCCTCCGGGCATTCTCGCGACAGTCTTGAGCATTTTTTCACTTCGTGTCCGAGATTTTTGACCACATCATGCTGCATGGTGCTTCTGGGCGGGGAGACCAGGTGTATGGATCTTGCAAATCATACCCCAGGAGTAGATCAAGGTCTTCGCGATGATCCTAAATCGTGCGCTACAGGAGCCTTAGTAAGTAAAGTAGGGCTTGGTGGTGTATATATATATATATATATTTATCCACATATATATATATATATATAGATTTATCCATATATATATATATATATATACATATATATAGAGAGAGATACGTATACGTGATAAGGAACCTCAAAGCAGTATTGGACAGCGTTGCTAGTTATATTGAGGCCCCTGTATTCGATCTTGGTCTCCGGGATGATCCCAACATCCTCTGCTTACTTGGAGGCTCATGGGACTTAGTAAGTAGGTTATAAGTGGGGTTATAAGTCCGCTAAGTGGGGTTATCCTAAGTATAACCTACTTATAACCTTACTTACTAAGTCCCAACATCCTCTGCTTACAGCCCCGCCTACGCGGCTCGCATCCAATTCGACCATGACCTTAGGCCCGACAATGTGTGTTCCCAGAGACTCCAATATCCCTTAATTAAGGAATATACCTTAAATCATATAAGGGATCCTACTATAATTGAAGGAATATTCCTTAATTAGGGGGTATTGGAGTCTCTGTGTTCCCTCCTGCCCGAAATGGTTTAGGGTTTGTGTGTTTTCTGAGCTCAGCAAGTCCCCAAAAAAGTGCAAAGTTTCAGTTCTATTAGGGGATCATGTTTCTAAGCCCCAAGACGTGTGAAGTTCCTGTTCTGTTAAGCGAAAACAATTTCCCAGAAAGCTGCGCAGTGCTCCCATTCAGCTGCTAAGTGACCAAGTCGGGGGTCGCCCTTTGCACCACGCTGCGCACGACCTCGGCAGACTTGTTGCTAAGGTGCGTCACGCCCAGGACGAAGACATCACCTGAGCTCAACGACTTCGTAATTTAGTGCGACATTTCAGACACAATCTGGGTGATCAGGACCATGCATCTTCTTGGATGTTCACTCTGCAGTACACCCCTGAGTCCGAGTCCTCCTCAGATCAGCCCAAACCTGTCCAGTCTCCGAGCCACACAAACCTAACCCAGAATCCGAAATTCCGAAACCACGTAACCTTTTCCACAGATGCGAAGCCCCAAATCTGAGCTGGGCACCTGTGGTGCCCTGAAGGTGCACCAAAGCGCCAGATGGACAAAGGCGGTCCTCCTGCAAAGAATGCAGAAATGCAGGCGCAAGACGCTGGTATGACAATGTAAGAGGAAAGGGAGGATGGGAAGACAAGATAACATAAGATGAGAGACCCAAGTATAAAATGAGATGATAAGATAGCAGGAGATACAAAAAACTGTAAGGTAAAGGTAGAGGTAACGGTAAGAGTACACGTATAAGTAAAGATAGAATCACACGTACGATAAGGAAGACTACATACTTCAAGGCAGAGTAACATGAAATACGGTGAAATAAAAAAGACAGGACCAGATAAGACAACATGTAAGAACATGAAATGGAAGATAAGTGGCGAGATAAGAAGAGAGAAGACAAAGTAAAATATAATCAGGCATGGTATAAGATACGGAAAGGTATATGCCAAGACATGATATCATAAAGATATTACAAGAATAGCTCAGATACGGTAAGGTAAGGTAAGGTAAGGTAAGCTAGAAATGCAAGCTAACATAACAAAATACGCCCATAAAATCAACAACTATCGCAAGTTAAAGCTAAATACAACGATAGATGCAGAGATGCCAGGCAAGGTATGATGAACCCAGATAAGCAAGGTAATGTGACATAAGTGCTAAGATGACTCATGACATCAGGTAAGGAGGAGGCGGCTCACCTGAATCTAGCAGGTAATACCAACATCTATAAACAATGTTACTGTTTCTGCTTCAGCAGCTTATGGTCAGGTGCTTCGTTGGACCCTGAAGGAAAGTGAACGAAACTATGCGTCCAGTCCCCAAAGGCCGCGGGCACGGGAAGTAGCAGGCCGCTCGCGACGCCGAGCAGTGCCCGGCGAGGCCTCGGAGTTCGTGGGCAGACCGCATGCGGCGTGTTTGGGTTTAATGAGCCCTTTTCGGCTTTGGGGTGTTAATTAGGCTGTTGTTTGGGTTTGCTGTCTTATCCACTCTTTTTGGTTTGGAGGGTTTTGGGCACGTATGCGGGTTTTTTTTGGCTAGGGGATGCTCACATAGGACCTCCGGGTCTGGGCCGCGACCCGTGATCTTGAAGCTCTGCTCGCCTACTCAATTTTGCGATGAAACCTGAACCCTACTGAACCGTCAGACCTGCAACATGAATCTCTAAACTGTCAATAAGACAAGTCTGAACATTCGGTGACCGTGTCCCTTATGCCCTTACAGTCTCTTTGGCGCCCCGCAGATACACGACAGCCCGGATGAAACCAGAGAGCTTTAAGGGGGTTCATCGAAGGGCTTAAGCATCAGCGGTTGATGTACCCTTTCCGAATTTGGTGCCCGCGGGTCATAGCACTACGCCACGTAAGCGAAACTAAATACATCTGCAACCGAAGTCGACCGAACCAAATCTATCTAAAGTTCTGAATTAGGGACCTTAGTAGTGTTATACTATAATTAGAATAAGGAACCCCAAAACCCTGTTGGTAATTATTAAAGCGGGTGAGCTTCGCAACACTCCTCGAGTCCCCAAATGAACAGTATATAGGGGCCTGAATAATTTAGAACAGGGTTCCCTTCAAGGATTCTATAAGGGTTCTATAATATAGCGGCAATAGTAAGAAGAATAGGTTTGGGGGCCATTAACTATCCTACAAATATAAAAGGAACCCCCAAAACAGTATAGGTAATTATTCAGGCCCCTACGTGAGTTTGCGTGGAGGGGCAAGGGAGGTCCTGTCCACGTGGGAGGAGTGTAGCAAGTGCAGAGCAAAGCCGCCAGCAGCAGCCAGCTGCCTCGAGATGGGAAAGCCCCACTAAACCAAAACCTCGAAAACCCTAAACCCTAAACCCCGATAAACCCTTTTTTAGTCACGGGCTGGGGCCAGACGTCTGAAGAAGCATCATCATAAAACCCCTAAGCCCTAAACCCTTATAAACCTTAAACTCTAAACTCTAAACCCCTAAACCCTATACCCTAAGCTCTAAATCCTAAAACCTAACTTATCAGCCCTGAACACTAAACTATACTGAACTTAGAACCCTAGCAAAAACTATCATGTTCGCTGTTTCTTAGGGTCTTAGGGGTTATAATAACCAGAAATTAGAACCATTTCGAAGTACCCCTAAGGAACCCCGAAGATGACGGTGATACTTTTGGAAAGCTTTCGTCTTGTTTCCTGAGCGATGCGCCATGCCAAACCCTGACCTTATGGCGTTTTCGGAGGTTGCTAACAAGGGAGACTGTGAAGGTTTGATGTTCTCACGGCTTAAAGTCAAAGCTCCAATCCCAAACTCTGCCGGCTGTCGGCTGTAGTTTTAGCCCCCCACTCCTTCCGAAAAAAAGCGTAGGTATGAATGCTCATCTCAAAACGAGCAGAAGTGAAACTAAACAGTATCCTCCACTGCACCCTTTGTGGTGTCCCTGTTGCATATCGATTATAGTAGAGACCTGCCTCTGGGTCGTCGGGATGCTCCGGAGGAAAGGCCCATGGCGCCCAGGGCGGTTTAAAGGGTTCTTTGTCCCGTAACTTGAGTTGCCGAAATAGGGGCATTTCGACTCGCACACTCGCACCAATTCAGGCACGGCTTGACGAGGGTGGGGCTTTAGTGGCTCGCGGGGGCTACCATTAAAGGGACATGGGGCCAGCTTTTACTATGGCAACTGCCGGGGAGGCCGTAGGATTTGGTTGTGGGATCAGCAGGTTCGGGGGTGTTGGCCTCTGTTGTCGTGTTCTGGCAGGGGAAAAGTTTACCCAAAAACTATAGAATCGTGAAGTTTCCTGCAGGCATCTCTGAAGGCTTCGCTCGGTTTAGGGTTTAGAAGTTGCGTCTTGTCTATCTTGTCTCTTCTGCAGGAACTGCGCGGCCCCTTGACTGCCTTAAGCTCGTCGAAAACAGTGGCAAGGCCGCAGTGCATCAGTCTGTGCAAAGGCATTCCACCCCCATTCACATGATTATCCCGGCATCTCGATTCCTGAAATCTTTACAGAAGGAACCTGAATCTGAACATTTAGAACAGGGCTTCGTTGCATAATTGATTGAAGGATAAGAAACCCTAAGACCCCATGGCGTGAGATTAGAAACTATGGAGGCCTCCATGTAACAATTAAAAAACCCTTTCAGAGGCAGCAGCTGCGACGAACGGTCTCCGTTCTAAACTACACCCTAAACCCTAACTTGCATGGAACCCTGTCGCCTCTAGGCTTCGAGGTCCCGAAACTGCGGAACTGATAGACTAGTTCATTGTTGGGGTTGGATTAAAAATGTACATTTTATTCCTTATTGGGTTTAAGTATCCATAAAAATGCAAAATGTTACCCAACTATGACAAAGTAGAGTAGAAGATTCGGCGTTTAGGGTTGCAGGCGCCAAAAGTGGGGACTGAAACCATGTTCAGCAGCAGTCTCTCCACCCAAAAGAGCGTCTGCAGAAGCCTGATCATTGCTATGCTGGTATTGGTACCATCAGTTTTGAATTTCGATTTTCACTGCCAAAGATTCTTCAAGCTAACAGACATCCGCGGACCGATCTTAAGTGTGGCATTTCTTTCAAAGCGGCTCGGTCCCGTCTTTGGTTCGGTTCGACGGTGGCCTGAAGCATCACAGGCATGCAGCATGCAACATGCAATGTAGGGGTTGGTAATTAACTAGAACATGGCTTCGGGGTGTAATCTTTCATGACAATAACCATACACGGCACTCTATAGCAATTTTGCAAGCTTCTATCTTACATGAACAACGCAACCATGGAACAGGGATTGTCAAGGAGGCGCAGCCGGCCCCACCTCTGCGTCACTCCCTGTACTCCTGCTTGAAGAACCTGAGGCGCTCGGGAGTCTGGGAGTTGGTGGGCATGCTCCTGGGTCTTGAAGCCAACGATTGAAAGTTCTACCCAAGCTCTATAAGCCAAAAGCATATATATATATATATATATATATATAGTATATACTATACCGGAGCAGAAAGGAAGTCCCTGCAGTGTGGAACGGGCGCTCCCTTTATCTTTTCTTTGGTTCTTCGTTGTCAGATGCTTCTAAGTTTAGTGTGACGACACTCAGCACTTGCAATTGGGACTCCAAGCAGCGCATTCGTCAAGCAGGCGCGTCAAGTCACTCCAAGGTCCGCAGAACAGCTAGAATCAAAGGCCCTTGCAATAGGACACCATGGTGCATGCAGACGGGTGGCTCAGAGGACAATGCCGCAGCGGCCTCCAAGCTGTTGTTTCGACCACTTGCAAAGCCAATACCGCAAACCCTGCACAGGATCCTGCAAAAGATTGAAAATGGCGGGATGTTCACCACCCCTGCAAGTTTAATCCGCCTTCCTGACAGAATTAGAACCATGCAAACGAAAGCACTACGCTACAACTGAGGCCTGCCAAGGTCATTACCTCAGGCTCGACTATCCTAGCACCGCCGAACCACCTGCTCCAATAGTCTCACCCCTAATCATATCAATATGCTCGTTTGTAGGGTTGGATCCGCGGGGGCTGGATCAGTGGGCTTGGCAAAAACCAAAGTTATCAAAATCAGAAGTCAACCTGAACAAAGACTTATTGGATACGTTACGACACGGTAGGTTTGTCCAGAATTAATGTAACTGGAGATTTGCAGACACTGAAAATTGTTGAGAAAACCATGAAAAAATGTAGTATTATTTCTGTCCAAGCCGGTGTGTGAACAGAGCAACCGGAAGCTGTGCCATTCCAGTGACTCCTTGCACCGACATTGGCACGTCGGGCAAGGTCACACTAGATGGCTGGCCTTTGTGTCCCCAAGCAAGGAAACTTGATGGCTCTTCGGGTGAGAGCCCGGCAACACCAACAGGTTTTCGCAAGGCTGAGGACGTCTGTGCAAGAGCCGGCAGAAGCTGCAAAGGTGTGACTCCCAAATTGTCAACAAGAAATTGTTCCTCAAGTGTGTTCACTTGTGCCATGCCACTGACCCCTTGCACCGACATGGGCACATCGGGCAAGGTCACAGTGGATGGCATCTATTGTTTCCTCACACTGCTCAGAACAACCTGTCAACTTAAACAGGTTGCTGCAAGGTTGAGGAAATCTTGAGTCAGCATGGCATTGCTTGGCAAGGTTGACGATTCGAATTGAGGAAATCTTGAGGAATCCTCCTCAAGTGGGGCAAAGAAGGCAAGAACGACGTCCAAGGCCCTGATTTGCCGGCGCATACTCATTCACTGAAAGAGCCATATCAATTCTGTTCCTCCAAGTGTGTTCACTGAGACAGCCACATCGACATAAGGCTGCAAGCAAATCAGACTTGTGTCTCAATTGTTATGCAACCTTCTCATCAGTCATCGCACTGTTTTACCTGTGTTGCTGCATGGCCTGCTGTTGCTGTTGTGTCACAGCATTCACACCCCAAAAACCAGTCACAGCAGATTGGCTTGAATAATAAAAAGCATGCAGCTCAGTAAGCTATGAAACGTATTTTGGCTGACGAAGCGGATCGTCACAATAGATTCCGGACAATCTGCGCAACTGCTTCCCCGAACATCGAAGTGTATTCCCCACTAGCCTGTACATCTGCTGGCACACCGGTGAAACGGCCGTCTTCGCCTCGGTTTACCAGACCAATGAAAGCATTATGATCTGGTTTGGGCCTGGCCAGGTTCTCAAAATGAAACCCAGGCAAATGCCACAGTTGCAAGGGCTTCACTGACTTTCCGTTAAAGGCACCCATGTAGGTGCAAGTCTTTTCGAAGCCACAAAAGGATAGAACTGTTTTGACACACTCGAGGTGCGGCATACAGGAGCTGAGGGGCTGTTCCACCACAGGGCAGCACTCACATGCCCATCCCAGGAAAATCCCAAGTGAGCAAACAAGGGCCTGACAATTTCCCTGCAATACAAAGTCCCGCTCAGTCCATGCGCCTTCCCAGCCGTTGCTTTCAGCACGTTGGGAACGAAATGAGCACATAATGACAAAAGAAGAGCACGGAGTGCCCCACCAATGCAAAGCCTTCTTCTCACACGCTGTGGCTGCATCCAGAAACAAACGCAACCCTTTCGCTAGCAACATGTTGTGTTCGTCATTGTAGAGTATGTCAAAGCTGCACCCACGGAGACCGGATTCGATCAATTTCTTCGAAAGTTTGGCGCTCCCTGCATAGTATTCAATGTATTGCAGCAACCCCGCACATTGATGGGGTCCCACATCGATTGAAGCTGCTTCAATCTTGGCTCTGTTGTCATAGCTACGGCTAATGATGCACATCAGCTGACACTCGATGGTTCGGTTCTTCAATGCGGGATAAGCCAATCCAATCAGCCCATGCCATTTCATGGCCACTCTGCCCACATTGAAGTCCTGGTCGTAGCGCAAGAAATTTTGCACCAAAATCCTTGCAACCATGAGCCTGTGACACCAAGGCTCTGTGGACCTGGCCAGCAAGATCAATTGAGGATGATGATAAGTTTATGTAGTATTACATTAATTAATGAAAAATTCAAATTATAACAAAATCTGTGACCCATAACACTTTGAACAGACTCCGGCCTTGGGGAGAAAGACAAGGAAGCAAACGGAAGGAAATGCGAACATTGCAATCGCGATGTTTGCTCGAAGACGTCCTCTACCCAAGTGTCAAACCGATCATCAATTTCATCAGTTCCTGTAACTGTATCGGTAAAATTCAAGGCAGGAAGAGTACACGGGCGCTCCACTGATCTACCTCCCAACTCAAATGACTCTGCAGCATTCTTTTTCCTTTTGCATTTCTTGCGTGCTGGCTTCACAGGCCCAGCACTACCACTGAAGACCAGCGATGATCCCAGCACATGCTGGCACGGCCACTGGAAATTGGACATGTTGGTGATTCACTGACATCAATACATTGATTTGTTGTCCCACATAACTTTAAACCATACCTCTGGTCCAACTTGAGCAACAAATGGATTCAATGCTTGCCTGGCATATCAAGCACATTCCACAAACTAACAGGACACAATGTCAGGAAGGCTTGTTTTTGCTGATCGCTTTCTCCCCGAGCAATCTGCAGCATAACTATGGTGAGACTTCATGATTCATGTCATGTCATCTTCAATTGCACACTTCAGGCATTCAGCAACTGTAATTGCAACGTAACTGTAAAGACTCAATCACAGAATGAACAGCAACTGCGCACAAGCTGAAGCCAAAATTGTGAATCGAACATGTTGCCGCTATGACAGCAGGAGCAGATTCACACACATTGGACTCGGCTGGATGAACTCACTCCCTGTGACTTCTTGAATCGACCGAAGACTTGAAGCTAAGAACACGATACTTGCATACATGACATTGACAGCAATCTGCTACCTGCTGACATGTTTTCCCCTGTGATGTATTTATCACAAAAAAACTGAAGAGGCTACTTGGCATACTTTGTAGGCGAAGGCATTGCGTCGATAATCGGGGCAAGGCGTTCCAGGACAGCCTCAGGGATAGTACCAGGCTGACAATGAGGCGGCAGTTGCCTTTCGGGTTTGGCCTTCTCCCACTCTGTCCATGCCCAGCGATGCACTTGAGCCAGTGCTTGCTTCCAGTCTGATCTGTCGTTAGCAAAGCTTTTGCTGCAAGACTTTTTCCCCTCACTTGACACATACTGTTTTGTCATGATCTCGGCTTTGAAGCGATGATCGTTGAAGCTGAGACGCAACTTGAAGTCTTCGGGTGGATCCAACTCCGACAGGAAGTCGGGAGTGTTATTCAAGTGTGGACCATGCTCGCGCGGAGCACGTTGCGATGCCTGGCCACGATGTGCAGCATCATCAAGGACCTGCTCAGGGGCTGATCCGCTCGAGGACGAGGCCTGTGCCATTCCACTGTCCCTTGGCCCGGATATTGGATCCGGCAAGGTCCCATTGGATGGCTGTGCTTGCACTTTTGTTTCCTCGTGTGCGACCCCGGCACCACCAAGCACAGAGTGTGGACGGGAAGCATCGACACAGGGCTCCTCCGCCGGGGGGGCGGGCTCTCCTTCACCAGTGTGTGGACTGGGAGGATGGGCGCAAGGCTCCGGTGAGGGGGCGGGCTCTCTTGGACTGGGAGCATGGACACAAGGCTCTGCCGGCAATGAATCAGGAGTTGTTCGATCGTCCATGACATTCATGTCCAACAGCTGGCTTTCCAACTCCTCTTTGAGTTCAGAGATATCTGGATCTTCTTCCACTGCTGGTCCGGGCATTTGTTCGAGCACCTGCTCCTTGCGTTTTCGTGACGCTGCTTGCCTGCGAGCCAGCCCTTGCAAGCCCAAAGCTGTGCCTCTTCCAAACCCATTGCCTTTTCCACGGCCTTTGCCTTTTCCTTTGCCCTTGCCTTTGCATTTTGCTTTGGCACACGGTTTTGACTTTGCTTTGGCTTTTGCCACAGCTCTCCTCGCTCTTTTGGCCTGCAATCGAATCACAATTGAGTCACAATTGAGTCACATTTGAATCACAACAATTGAGTCTAAGCCTAGCTCAGAAACTCACTGGAAGGTCTTGCCAGGGTGCCTTTTGTTCTGCAACCTTCTCATCCCACATGTTTTGCCAACGTTGTTGCTCGGCCTGCTGTTCCTGTCGCATCAGGGCTTTCTCCAAGTCCTGGAAATCCTGTTTATCTGAGGGCTCCATGTTGTCCAACAATGCTGATAGAAAACCATCAGGCATATCTGCATCAGGAGCCTTCTGAGTGTCTGACTCTGCAGCTTCACGGCAAGCTTCTGCAAACTCTTCTCCGAAACACTCCTGACACTGTTTCAACAACTCCTTCTTGGAATTCTTGTGGGGTTGTGTCACATTCAAGTAGTCCGCCATCAATGTCAACTCCGCAAAGGTCCTTTTGTGCCCGGAGCGCAAAGTGTTTTGCACAAGTGGTTCCCAACCACACGTGGCTTTGAAATAGAGTCCTGCCTGTGTTGACAATTTCGGAGTGGCTTCACATGCTTCCCATTCCTCAGGGTTGTGAAGGAACTGCCATGAGCAACCGGCCTCCACTTGCAACTGCCAGCCCGAGCACCTGCCGCCCTCATGAACTTCGGACAACCGCCATGCCAACACTGCCCATTTGAAGGATCCCAGAACAATGTAGGTCTCTTCCACATTGCGCAAAGTAATGATTTGCCCAAACTGGGCAAACACAGCCCACAAGCCGTCCTCAGGAACATGTTGTTCTTAGAACAGAGCTATTCAATCACAGACCGCTACTTTGCTGATTCACCCCAGGCCTTC